ACCCTTATTAATCAAATTTAATTCCCCCCAACTCACTCTCAACATACAAACGCCAACATATCGAAAACCCCACAACTTTTACCTTAAATAAGTAAAACACACATTGGAACTAACAGCATTCTTGAAGTTGACATATATCCATAAGACAAGAATATGATCAACCACTATGCCCTTTTCAAATATTTTATTCCCCAGTGCTTTCTCATAAATAAAAAAATTGACTTGATATCTATAATCCGACCTATTATTAAGTGGATATAATCAACACTATGTGTACACTTTAGATTTTCATTACAATTAAATATATTAATCGAAACCAATAAATATAATTATTAGGTTTTGATCGCAACCTGTAGGAGTATAAAGATAACGGGAGTAAATATTTTTCCGCGACACGCGAATAAGGAAATTTAAAAAAGCAAAACGCTGACAAACGTTGAAGGTGCTGAGAATGTGACCCTATGCAAAATAATTTTGACCTTCACAATTTTATTTAAATAACTAGAGGTCCCATCTTGTTAATACGTCCATGAAATACTACAATTCCGAAAGCTAGACCCAAGTCAAAAGAGTGTTTCTTCCTAAAACATCCCGCAAAACATCTTATCTGACTGCAATCCCTTATATCAAACTTTTGTTTGTTTGTTTATATCAACATTACTAATATCCAGTACCACCTTGGTTCTAATCAATTATGCGGTCTGTAATTAAAAAAAAACACTCTTTTTTTTCTTTTAATTCGTCTCAATTTCCGCTGATTTTTTGGTTCACTTCATCAGGAGACAAACTAAAATATGGTTAAAAGTTATATAAAATATCAGGTGAAATAAAACAATGAATCACTTACAGATTTAAAGCTAACAGGTAGATTTAAAACAGTTTGTTGTACTGTTCCAACAACAGTACTTTTAAAGAACCTGATACTGTAACAAAAACCTGATACTGATTATTTTCTATTAAGTCCTCTTTTAATAATTACATCGTTTTCATTTTAAGATTACAGGTATTCCTTTTGTCAATGTGGGATACCATTAAAATCATTAGTAACCTTTCGTAGTGACGGTCCAAAGAATGTTTAATAACAAACACAAATATTTAAAAATAAAAAAATCAGAAAAACAGAAAAATTAGTAATAAACTAAATATATTCAAAATTTAATTGCATTAAAAAAAATTAATCTTACATGGTTATTTCAGATCCTCCCAGTATTATTAGGCGGTTCCCACTTCAGTTTAAAAGAGTGTGCATGTATCCTTCCTTTAACTACAGGTTTTTGAGGCCTAGAAGGTTTGTCGGGCAAGGTGCTGTAAGTCCACCTTCTTTTCCGAACAGGGATGATGTACCGGGACTTTCGTTTTTTTTTTGACCTTAACCTAAACAAAAATTTAGTCTGTAAAAGAATTTACAAGGATTCCATAGTTTTTATTTTGATAAATATTTATTAATTAATGGAAACTAAACTACAAGCCCCAAGATGCGAGAATATAACATAATAGAGGGACTGTCCATAGTTGTATATCTTTTTTTCTTCCACTTGTTACGTGCTTCTTCTAGATCAAGTTTTAATAATTATATACTAAATGAATAAACAAAAGAATAGAAAACTAAAGATTGGGATGACTGAAGAAAGTGACTAACAATTAATGAATGAAAGAAAATCATTCTAAAACAAAAAATCGAATTAAAAATGTAATGAAACCTGATTCGATTAATAATAAAAAGAGAATAAAAGAAGCTAAGGAAGAGAATGTTACAGGAGCTGGAGTGCCAAAGTACTAACAGAAGAAAAAATAGAAAAATAGGACTTTTTTAACATGCAAAAAAGAATTAGAGATTTAACAGATATGAGAAAAACAACATTTTAAACAGGCAACTAAGAGACGAAAATGATGCACGTGACTTAATAACTAGACATAAACCAAAAAATGCAGAGAATGGACACTCAATATAAAGCACAACTATTTGAAAGACACAAAGACGAGAACAGCAAGCACCAAAAGGAATTTAAGTATGAACTCTACTGGGCCTTGACATTATTACGGAGAAGAAAATTTAAAGAAATCATATGCAAATGAAACAAGCAAACGGTGGTACAACCTCCCGGGCTCTGATGCAGTTCCACCTACACGAATTACTACTTAAATTGTGAAAACTGAATCATTTGATTCTCTCTTTAGGATCTATTCAATACCATAATAGAACAGAACGGTATAATACCCAAAGAATGGCTTACAATCTCAAACATATTCATTACTGCTTCCCAAAAAACGCGAATGCAAAGGGAGTGCAATGAACATCGCAACAACCATAGCCTTAATGAGTCCAGTCTTGGAATTGTAAAAATTTTTAAAAGTAATTCACAATATCGGGAATACATAGGAAATTTAGATGAAGGCATAAGATAATACACCAAATGAGGATTTAGGCACGTGACTATGGGAACGCCGAGATAGCAACTGTTTGCAGTATGTGTTCTTTTCCGCAGAGAACAAGTTTTCTCGAACAACTAGAACAATCTGGCGAAGTTTATAATTCCATAAAAAACCTGTAAATATAGGCATACTTATGCGGCACATCCAGATGAGGTGAACAACAAGTACGAACCCTACGGACTGATAAAGCAGGGGTAAAAATACAGGTAGAAAATACCACGCGTAGGAAACGTATAAAATCCTCGGTGGCACATCTACCTGATTGGTTTATGGATGCCGTTTCCATGGAACTATTCAGGCGAGTAAAAACCATCACAACTATATCATTGAGCCCAAGAAGTGATTCCTATCCAATCGACCGATATTCGTTGTAACTCTGAAGAAGAAGATACTACATGAGTTATTAAGTACGTCCAAATAAATAAATTTTACCTGTAAAAAAAACTTACCCTCCACCTCCATCATCTTCCTTGTGCCCCTTTGTACAGGGAATAGGAGTGGTGACCCTCTAGAAATATTAACTATCTTGGTTGTGTCCATTGGCTGCCGATGTTGTGCCATATGACTGCTTCTACATTGATGGATTTTCCGCCACAAGAGTCTCTTCTTTGAGGTCTTCCCATATCCGTGCTTGGAGAATCCTGTCTCTTGGTGTTCGGTGGCCCTTCTATCTTAACCTGTTTTCTTCAACTAACATTAACCAAAGTTTATAATTTGGACTCCCGTTCCTCTAACTATGTGGCTAAGCAACTTAGGTTATGTTTGCGATAGTCCTATACTTTTAATAGCATTTTTAAAATGAAGATCTTAGAGAATTGGGCAGTTTGATTTCTCTGTTCTGTCCAGGAGCAAACCACAGTAGAACAATACTTCTAATATTTGGATTTTTTGTGAGAGTCAGTGTATTCAGCTGCGTACGTATCAGTTTATGGAATCACTCGCACCTATACTTTCGCAACTTAGTTTTGTACAAATTTGTTTTGAAAATCGATATCGAAAGTCCGATAGGCAATACCTCTTTGGACTCAGCTGTACCATTCACTTCTGACATCCCTAGTGTAATATATTCATCTATGAGCACAAGCTCTTAAAAATTGTAAAATTTTTTTCAAAGAAACGTGTTCAATTTAATTTTCTATAGGGACAACACTATAATCAAGCAAGGTTATGTAAATGTTGGATAACACCAATGTCATAGATACTACAAATGGAGACTAATGGAAGTATACAAATATAAACCCTAATCTTAAATAATGTGTAAACAAATGGTTAGAACAATATCAGAGAATCAGAACTGGATCAAGAGAGCCAAAAAAAAATAACTGTTTTAGGAATAGCTCCATGGAGAGATAGTTTGCAAATGTTATCGCCACCAGCAAGGGGGAATTATCCATAAGGCAGGAAAGGACGCAATAAATATATAGAATGATTTAAAAATAACATATGATATTAACAATGATTAAAATAAACGGAAATTTATATTAAAGAAAAGTAAAAATTAAAAAAACACCTACGTAACATAAAATATACAAAATATAATACAAAGATTGAGATCATATTTAATAATTTTCTCTTTTTGCAAAAAGTCATAGTAGAAAACCTCTCCTTATTTACCGGGGCACTGTTATAAACTTACCTGAAAGCGTAACACTAAAACAAACTTAAAACTGCATTCCTCTTAGAGTCCAGCAGAATAGATGGTTATGATTTTTCATTGGCCCAAGTAGACATTCAAGAAACCCAGAGCTTGTTATCAACATCAACTCGATTTTTCATTGTGTAAGATAACTTCATCAATCTTTTGGTCGACAGTTGCCATGAGAAAATGTAACGAGAGGACTTTTGCTTATCATGCAACGATCGGGTGCATTATAAAAGCTGGGATAGTGGGTTGTCCAAAAGTACTCAGATATACCGCTATGCACACAAGTAAGAAATCCTTTTATGCCCTTACCCTCATTTTGAGCGCTAACCATAAAAAGAGAATTAATGATCAACAAATCTTTAAGAAGAGCGAATTTTGTTTTTATGCGCATTTTTCTTATATGGTAATAAAAATTCTTTATATTTGTAATTTATCAAATATGTCTAGTAAATATTAAATAAAAACATTTGCGTTGTTTGCATCCTCCCTACATGCTTCTATATTATCCCTAACCCATAAACACGGCAATACGTTGCTGGTTCACGATAACGGTCAATTTTTGATGACGTTCCTAACGAATTTAGGGAGAAAAGTCGTACACACTGAATTTAAACCACAACCTTACCATTAGAAACACTAGATATATTCTTTATTTCTATAGAAAAGAATCCCCTATGATTTTTTCTTCCAACTGACCTAAAATTTCAGTTCTCTGCTTAACAAAAAAAGAATCATAGAAAAAATTTATTGATTCAAACCTGAAGGTATACCGTAAGGCAAGGAAGGCCAATATTCTTCTTCTTCTGAAGTGTGTGCGTTTTGCTCATCCCTTTATAAAATATTTCCTCCTCCCCAGCCAAAACTTCCCTCCTTCCCTTTTTTTTTTCCTCCCTTCATCATATTCCATAAATGGTAGTGCTTGTTATAAATGAGCGCCATATGGTTGTCGTTGACCCCCAGCGTTCCCACGCGATAACTGTAGTGAATTTTTGGTTCGGTTCAGTAGTTTTGGAGGCTGCGGTTGGTCAGGCTCGCAGGCCGGTGTGATGAAATTTAAGACTGATACTGGATGCGAACCTTGAAAGCTCGTCCTATCGAAATGTGACCTACAAACCGATAAAACATACGTGATGTGTACTAAACTCGATTTTTTGCATATATACATATTAAAGATGTTATTGGAGGTTTGGATAAACCACAAATATTTCTACCGATAGGATAGCCATTTAGGCAAAAAACGACAATCAGTATTAGTTTGCTTTTTTTATTTTGGATAACACAATCCTGACAACTCCCTAATGATCCATGATGTCGTGATGACGTCATGAAATTCTATGAAGCGCAATGTGTATCAATCTTGTCCTAAAGTTAGTATATAGTTAGTAGTTGCAATACAAACGGTTAAGTTTTATTTAAGAAAAAACAGAACTAAAAGAGTTTCGTAAAAATATAAAATGTTGCATAAGGAACTCCTGTTATAATAAACCTTTAATGTAAAAAAAACAAAAAACTTTCGAATATGGGAGGACAAAACGGAATTTATATCCAAATCCAAATTCCTCGAACTGTATATTATATATAAACAATATTAAGGTTTTACATATTCAACTTTTATGGTAGAAATGATCAATAAAGATGTTGCACAAGTAGTTAACTGACAAATTTAAACAATTTAGTAATACCCAAGAGACACAAGCGAGCAAGAGACGACAACACTCCTTTTTGTGGTGGTATGTTTCGATCTGGCCCCTCTCCAGTGCCTTGTAAAGTCCTTACCCTCGCTGTCTCCCAGACCACACAGGAGACGCTGGAGCTTATATACTACCCGTGATTGTATCGATAACAACTATCTAAACGACAATAAAAATGGTGTCCGGGGCAACATTTACTTAAATCGTCATCACAATGAACTTGATAAAGCTACTAACTAACAAGGCCATTTGAAAAAATCTAAAACACCATATCAAGGGTTGCCAAAAACGTTAGTGTAAGTATCATTGAAGTAAACAAGGTTTCAAAAACCTAAATCAAATGTGGATCTCAACTATTTTCGCAATAAACATGTGAGGACACAAACACGTTCCCTATCACTTTAATGACAGAAAAAAATTAAAAACTAAATCCTCTTCAAAATGAACACTATTTGAAACTAACACTTGATTATAAAGCAAACAGCCTTCAAAATTCAGGAAAATGTTAGCTTTATAAACCGGACGCTGCAAAAAATATTTATTTCAGACATCTATTCTTCTTTCATTAAAATGCCTATCTCCACGTTCATGAATGTTGGCCGATCATCAACTTGCTTATGAAAACCACCTTTACTTTATTACCCAATGGCAGAGCGGCGGAACAGTCAGGAGTAGCTAAGTCATGTTATTACCACGTTCGTAAATATTTGAAACAAGGAAATTGCGACTTTCCCCTTCCTTCTTCCTTTCCTCTTCTTTTCCTCTCCCCAGTTCCATCCCGACCACTCTTAACCCATAATCACAGACAATATAAAACACAAATATATTCTCTGTCATATTAGCGAGTTAGGGGAGGGAACAAAGGAGGAAACTGTGTTCTGTTTTTTTCCTAGATTCCTCTCCGGAGGCTGGGTTGGGGTATATATATGTTATATACAAATAACTTCAATAACATATATATATGTTATGAGGTTGTTTTATAATAGAATACAGACTAAGTCCAACAGTACTACGGCATACACCAGGCATCGTAAACCCTACCAATATTGATCCCCTCAATCGCGCCCAGACGCAACTGACGGAGCCCCGACCATATACCATTATAAAATGTGACGGCCCCCCGGCACTCCAACAACATACGGACCCTCATCACTCACTCTATTCCCAGCGCCCCAGGCTTAGGAACCTTATTATAATTATCACACTCCAAAATGTGTTCACGTAATGCCAAAAACCACCCTGACAGACCTTTTTTTCAAAATTATCCGCGGGCGCGGACTGGGGCGTTCCGCCCTCCGGCGCCGGGACTAAAGTAAGGGGCGATGGGCTGGGTCACCCCAACTTTGGTATTAAAAAAAAAAAAAACAACTGGGCTAGCACGGAAGTACAACGGAGGCATATTGCAAACCTGATCGAGGAAGCCACTGACCGAACCGAACGGTTCAACTGGCCCCTTATGCCGATGATGATTAATATAAATGGAGTAGAACATCAACAGGAACAACAGGACCCACATACTCCGAGATTAACAACACCCAAACGAAATAAGGCTAGGATTGGACAATTAAACCAGCACTCAGAAAAACCAAAAATAATACTACAGTACGGAGAAGAAATAATAGTCCTTACAAAAAAACATTCAAACATGAACATCACATTGAAAACGTGGAGGAACAGTTTTACATATCAGGGAGTTAGAAATATAATTGCCGATGGAATCAAGAAGATGGCGAAATTACCGGAAGCAGAATAACGCAGGCACACCGAGCTTAGCCATGGCTTAGCCCTACTCCAACCTATGTCTCGAAGGTACAAAATGTCCACCGACCGAATTACAAAGAAGAGAAATCTATCCAACCTTAATTTCTTACTTCGACCAATCGCATGGTAAGGGCAGTAAGCAGGGGGGTCTCTGAAAGGAAACACACCAAAAGAAAACTCGCGCACATTAGAATAGGAAAGTAACTCGAGGAGAATACTAGGACCGGTGAGGGACGAACTGTGAATCGCGTCCGAAGTCGCTGCAACAATCGACGCTTTGTCCGAACTCTTATACGTAAGCAACACCAATTGTCCGACTTCATTTAGAATAACAAAGATGTGCAAGGGGCCGGACATTGTGAAAAGCAATGAGAGAGGATTAGCTACCAAAACGCGCAAATGAATGCAAGAATGCCGAGAAAGGAGACCGGTTGGAAGGCCAAACCAGCGTTGGGTACGACACCGTAAACCAGTGACGTGCAAGCCCTTGATTTTAGTAGTCCTTGATGGGAACGATCAGCCATACAGTACAAAGCCAAGGGTGAGACTGAAAAAAAATAAAGGAGGCCCAAGGCCAATATGGGGCTGTAGTTGCCCGTAGAAGAAGAAAGAAGTCTACCTTTCGTAGGAAACCTACTTCTTTTACATTAGATATTTTGACGTCAACGATTAAAGTACCAACTGTGTTAAATACATATATCAGTAATAGATCATTTTTCAAACCCAGAGAGCTGTCGCGTAAAAATATAGATAGGAATTTTTGATATGGTCATTATATGCGTTAGTAAAAGATACTCCATCACACGGATTCTCACTATGAATAACAGGACAACATAGTTTTTTTATTAGGCTCAATAACTCACACGCCCTTATATCATATTCACTAGATTATTAATACAAAATCATTAGTAATATGTATTGTTTCAATTTATTGAGAATGCATAAATGAACACACAATTATTTAAAAATGATGCAAGTATACTTGAGAAGCTAAATGTAGCTACAACATTTAGAAAAACGAAACACAATATTTACAGAGACATATTACCCACTGAGCTTTTCCTTAATAAAGCTCAATTTTTTATTTAATTGAATTAACACAATTAAATAACAACAATTAAAAAATCGGCTACCCATATCAAGCATAAATATCAACACAAAGCTTTCTTTGAAAGATTTTTCTATGCTAAAGTCCACAAACAACGATGCATTATCAAGATAAAGAAACAACCAGAAGAACACTGGGATGTTACGAGGTAATACTCGCGATTCATGATTAATACAATGTATAAACTATTGGTAAGATTCCTGATTTGGCGAATTTATACAATAATACCTATCTACCTTGGAAATCATTATTTGAGAGTGGAGTCCCTTGTAACCAGTTACATGCGTCTTGGTTTGTAATATTTTACGTGTATCTTGATTGTAATAACACAATTTTAAATGAAACTTTCACTCCAGAGACACATGACAAGGAAATACAGATACATTGGAGCTGGATTACAGAGAGTGTCTAAATTAAAACCTGAATACTTGGAGTGGGGAGTCTCATTTCATCACCTGACTGTGGGAAAAGGCTTTGGTTTAAAGATTCTCTAAACTGATTCATATCCAATGGCAGCGCCCAAAACTAAAGTAAATTAATGCGCATATTTGCACAATATATGTTGGTCTCTCTTCCAGCTGAGTAGGTCTAAATGTTAAATGTAAACGAATCTTTTCGGGTATTAACACAATTAAAACCAAGGACCGGAATAGGTTTGAAAATCCCATGTGTCTCTGATTCAAAGCGGGTTTTGCGAGAAGTACTAAACATCATACTTCATCCCTCAAGTATGTGATAACTAATCAATGTAAGCTTTACGAAAATGGTACAGAAGAATACTTAACCAGAATTATAAAAAAAGGGCCTGAAATAAGTTTCATCACCTAATATTTAATAAAAAGCTCTATACATATAGGTCGTAACTGGTAAAATAAATATTAAATAAATCATAAGATTTCCTTTTTTATCTAAACAATAAAAAACAATTCCACAGGAACTTGGTCAAGATTTCTTTCTGGTTTCTTTCTTAGTAAGACCTGGTATGACAGAACAAACAAAAGACGGAAAATAACAGTAATAAAACGATTCACGACCTCCATGGATCTATAAATCTAAAATACCATTTTAAAAAAATATAATCGCGTTATTTGTTAATAGGAGGCGCTACTATTAGTTCTCCTCACATCGACCTACTTAGGGCATCAATCTCATTTTTTTTTTGCAGATAAGCGCCTATTGGCGTCGTACTCCTTTAGAGAAAATTTAGCAAATATTCTGACCTGGTTTTTGGCCGATTCTCTAAAAAATTTAAATGGTCACACACTGACAAAACAACCAATTGGTATGGTGAATAATTATAATGCTTTCCAAGGAAATAAAAGCATGGAATCTAGGTTATGTTGAAGTGTTTTTTTTTGTTATTGGTTCTGGTTGCTGCAGTTAGGGTAAAGCACCCAATAGTCAGCCTCGCACCAGTAGTCGGCCTTTACAGTCTTTATTATAATGTAAATAGTGTTGAAATTAGTTTAAACCAGTGAAATGACTGTTGACAAAATCTATGTCCCTTCATTGGTCAATACGAACACCCCCGAACTAATAGCACCACAGGTTGATGAGCTGTACTCGTTCATTTTCACTCCCGCCACAGACAAGTCTAGACGATTCGCTGTTGCAATATTTTTTGTAGAAAAACGTGTTCGAGATTTCGGTAAGTTTTTCTATGAATTTTATGTAATTTCTGGTGGATTTTATGTAATGATGTTATAAAATGTTTATTTTATGATAAAATTAATCATTAGACGCATTTTATTTGTTTATTGCCTTTTAATTTAGGGGGCCGACTACTGGGTTCTCGATTTTTTAAGGTTGATCCAGTACTCAGCCACAAGGGGCTGAGTACTGGTTTGTTACGATTTTCTTAGATTTCCAGTAGTCAGCCATGTATAAAAGTAAATGCACGGTGAGGGCCGAGTAATAGACTTTAAACTCCAATAGTCGGCCGTTAGTTCTGATACATAAAACTGGATCTTAATGCCTTTTAATTAGGATTAAATTTATGGTAGGGGTTTTTAACATAAAAATCTTTTATTACAGATTGTCATCATGTCGAAAAGACCAATCCACAAGTATAAAGAAGAGCAATTGTCAGAAGCTATGACCGCAATAAGAAATGGGATGACAATTAGAGAAGCTAGTCGAGTTTTTAGCGTACCACGAGGAACCCTACAAGATCGGCTACATTTAAGAGTCCCAGAAGTACCACGTCAAATGGGACCAGACTCGGTACTTTCTAAAGAAGAAGAGACTGCCTTGAAAGAGTGGTGCATAGCCTTAGCAAAATGTGGCTTTCCTTTAAAACGCGACGATCTTCTTAATACTGTCCATAATATTATTTCCCAAGAGGACAAACCTAGACCTAACCCATTTGTAAATAATAGGCCGGGAAAAAAATGGTACCAGTCATTTCTTAGACGAAATCCTGAGTTAAGTGAAAGGACACCCGAAAATATATCTAAGGGCCGAGCAGCAGTAACCGAAGAAAGTATTCGGAAGTGGTTTACTGAATTACTGAAGCATTTAGAAGATATAAACGCGACTGATATTTTGACTGACCCAGATCGTATTTTTAATGGTGATGAAACCAGTTTCTACATATGTCCCAAAACAGGAAAAGTTATTGCACCTAGAGGGTACAAGAATGTCTACAAAATCGTAAAAGGCAAAGAAAAAGAGGCTGTTACAGTTCTTGTATTTATATCAGCTTCTGGGAAGATTTTGCCTCCTTGTGTAGTGTTTCCATATGTAAGACCACCAAAAGATGTTATAAACAGTATGCCTGCTGGATGGCTATTAGGAAAATCCGAAACCGGGTGGATGAAATCAGATATATTTTATGATTATATAGTTAAAGGTTTGAACACATGGGTGGAAGAAAAAAACATCAAAAAGCCAGTTATCGTTTTTGTTGATGGACATAAAAGCCACTTAACAATGCGGCTCAGTGAATATTGTTACGAAAACGGTATTATCCTTTACTCACTTCCACCAAATGCGACACATTTGATTCAGCCTGCAGATGTAAGTGTATTTAAGCCTTTAAAGTCACAATGGAAAGATACAGTACACGAATGGGCAATTCGTCCTGAAAATGTTAATAATATTTTGAGCAAATCAACGTTTTGTCCATTGCTCAAAAAAGTTTTAGAAAAAGAAAATTTGCCTGTAATTATCAGCAATGGTTTTCGCAAGTGTGGCTTATATCCATACAATCCAAATGCCTTGGATTACTCAAAATGTGTACAAAATATTCTTGAAAAACATCAGAATTCCACTAAGAATGTTAAATCTCCAGACAAGAAAATAAAGAATAGGCATTTGAACACCGCCATCAAGATAATTAATCAGCTTAGTAACGAGCTGAAAAATGCTG